TGTAAGAAAGCATATATATATATCTGAGATAGCTTTAAAAAATGAATTGTTTGGGAGTCCACTTGCTCAAGGCTCCTTGGGCGTGGCTCCAGGTAAAAAATAAAATATAAAAAAGAAAAAAAATGAATTGTTTGAAAGTGAATTAACATGATAGGGGTGGGTTTTATACTTGAACTCAAAAAAGAATCCTACAGGAGGGAAGAATCAACTTTAGAATGTCTAAATTTCCTTTCCATTTGCAACTGTCATTGTAATAATGGATATAGGCAGAATCACAAATGGGTGCTGAAACTCCTGCTTGAAAATTTGTTGGAGATCAGAAGATTCATATAGTATAAAAGCATCACCTTACGGATAGCTTATTAATTACAAAGGGGAAAGGATACAGTTGAGAAGTCTATTCATCACTGTAATCAAGTGATCAAACCTAACATTTGTGGAACAAACTAATATCATGTGCCTCCTAATACAATGTATAAAAGGCATAACCTAAATCTAATTTTGAGAAAACAAAAACCCAAATTGGGAGACATTCTACAAAATGTGGTTCATACTTCATAAATGTCAGTATCATGAAGGCAAAGGATGAGTAGTTGTTCTAGATTAAGGGAGATTAAAAGAGAATGACAATTTAAAAAAAAAAAGAATGACAACTAAAAAAAAGAATTAAATGACAGCTAAATGCAGTGTAGGATCCTGCATTATTAGATCATGGATTAGGAAAAAGGTTGTTATTAAAGACATTGGGCTAATTGGCTAAATTTGCATACAGACTGTGTATTTTGTTATATAGAAAATAGTATATCAATGTTAATTTTATTGAACTTGATCATTGTATTGTTATAAGGGCAACATCTCTTAAGAGGTACGTGTTTAAGTATTTGATGAAGGGTTATGATGGATGCAGCTTTCTCTTATGGTTCAGAAAATATACACACACACTAGAAAGACATAAATTTGGCAAATTTGAAACTTCTTGAATCTAAATAAAGGGTAATTGGGGGTTCATTGTACTCTTTTTGCAACTTTTCTGTAGATTGGAAAGTTTTCAAAATAAAAATTAAAGGCAGGGAGAGCAAATTCTAATTGGGAGAAGGAAACTCATTTTCTTGGTGATGCAAGCAGAGTCAAGTTGAGGGATGGAAGGATAATTTTATGAACAGCTTAAGTATGAATCCTGGCTGCCTAGGAAGAACACTCCCAATAAGGAAGCAGTAAGTGCAGTGGGAACATTTAATTTAAGTGGGTTACAACAGAAATTTTAGAGTTAACCAAAACTGGGCATTGTTAAGAGTTGTTTCCAACAGATAGCAAAAATTGACTGACATAGTCACTTTCAGACTAAAACTGATTTTTTAAAAATCCTTCATACACTTACTTATAAATTGTTTAAGAAATAGTAAACAGTTGCTTACATGTTGAAGGCAAATGAAGACAATTTTAATTTGTTGTGTCTGCAGTTGAAAAAGTTACTCATTTTAGTTTAGATTCGTCTTATGTAGAAATAAGTAAACTTTAAAAATTTCAGTCACTCCATGTTTCTGAAAAGTTACAGTTCTCTGCTTGCTATAGAGTAGTTAAGTATTTTCTGTAAATTGTATGTACTTTTTCTTTGCGCGTTTGTAGTATTTTTTTTCTTAATCTGCAAAAGTTCTTGTTATATTCTGGACATTAATTCTCTAGTGATTTAAAAATTTTTTTAATCCACCTGGAATTTGAGTGTTGTGTAAGTTAGGCATCTTAACCACTCCTAACCATTTGTTGCCATTTATAACCATACCACTTGGTGAAAGATCCATCCTCATTGATACACATACTTTTCTGTTATTCATATGCTTATTTTCCAGGGCTATTTTAGGGCTTTTTTCTTTTCTTCTTTTCGTTCTTTTTTTAGGATGGGTTCCGGTATGTCCCTGTGTCGCCCAAGCTGGAATGCAGTGGCCATTCACAGACAGGATCCGTAGTGAGCTAGAGCCTCAAACTTCTGGGCTTGAGTAGTGATCCTCCCAACTCAGCCTCTTGGGTAGCTGGGACTACAGGCACGCACTTCTGCTTGGGGCTTTTTATTTTTTAACTATCTGTTTGTCAGTAGCTATGCCAGTATCACACCTTCTTAATTTAATTATGTTTTCTTTCTAGCATGGTAAATCTACAGTATTCTTTTCTTAAATTGTCTTAGCTACTTTTTTATTGTATCTAATATGTAAAGTGATTTACTTTTCTTTTTCAAGTTTTTATTATAAAATATACATAACATAAAAGGTGTACAGTCCCAGGGCATTAAGTACATTCACATTATTATGCAACCAACACCACCATCCATCTCTGAATTTTTTCATCTTCTGTGATTGAAACTCTGTACCCATTAAATAATAATTCCCTATTCACCCCTTCCCCTAGCCTCTGGTAACCACTATTCTACTTTCTGCCTCTATGAATCTGATTGCTCTAGGTATCTCATATAAGTGGAATCATACAGTATTTGTCCATTTGTGTCTGACTATTCACTTAGCATAATTCTTCAAAGTTCTTCTGTATTATAGCATGTGTCAGAATTTCATTCCTTTTTATGACTGAATAATATTCCATTGTATATATATTATTTAATATTCTACTACTACCACTTTCCCCCTCCCACACAGATATAGAATTTCCCTTGAGAACTTTAATAGTTAGGGATATCCTAAGCAGGGGCCAAACTGTGGCCCACAGACCAAACTTGGTCCGTACCATTTTTGTAATGAAGTTTTATTGGAACACTGACAACTACCTACATTCATTAGTCTGTGTCTGTGGGTACTTTTGTACTATAATGGGATAACTGAGTTGATCTGAGAGACCACATAGCCCACAAAATACTAAAAAAAAAAAATTTATGATCTTGCCCTTTACGGAAACACCTGTTATCACATCTGATATTTTACTACCTCTCCATATATCCCATCATCCTTTATCAGAAGTACCGTACTATATAGAAATACTGTCCCTCTTATCTACCTGGGCTTTGTTTCTAGCCCCTCTTACTTTTTAAGGAGCCTTATACTTCTCTCTCCTATATATTCCACCGTATTGTCTTGATTGGATCCTCCTCGGTGGCTAAAATAAATGAGAACTTAGTGTACTTCTTCCTTACTTGTTAAGGTGTTATGTCACTGTTTTTAGTTTCTCTGTTGCAGAATTTGCAAACTGCTAGCCTGCAGGGCCTATGAAGCCTGCAGGCATGATTTCTGTGACCCATCCATCACCCACATTCATTTAAATTGGAAGATTTTTTCATTATTATTTTAATTATTATTATTTTTGAGACAGGGTGCCATGGAGTCAGCCTAGCTCACAGTCACCTCAAAACTCCTGGGCTCAGGTGATCCTCCTGCCTCAGCCTCCAGAGTAGCTGGGACTACAGGCTCACACCACCACACCCAGAGAATTTTTTTTCAATTTTTAGTAGAGACAGGGTCTTGCTCTTGATCAGGCTGGTCTTGAACTCCTGACCTCAAGCAATCCTCCCACCTCAAACTCCCAGA